CGGGTCGGCGATACAGCGAGAACAAGCGAAACTCATCCTGAGCACACACAAACACTCACAGCCGAAGTAAAAACAATAAGTGTGGCTTGATATTGAGTAAGAAAAAGGTTTATAAATTATATCGCTGTGAGAATGGGTCTGCGGAGAGCATTTCTCCGCGATCCCAACTCGTCTATTACCAGCGTTCAGGGAGCTCTATGCAGGTCAATGGGGACTCCCTGTTAGTTAGCCAAGGGATCCTGTTGTGTGAGGTGCTCCGCGGATTGGTCCATTTGTTGTTGATTTGGGTATTCACACGTCACAGTACCCAGGAAACAAACAATGGAAAATGAGAAATCTCCAATGAGGCGTTCTGGGGCAGAATAGACTGTTAGAGTTTTACTCACTATAGGGTGTACTTTGAGGGTTTTTGACTCTGCAGACCGTTCACAACACACAAGGGGACGGGTAATTACCGGAAAAGCATGACATGGGCCCTTTAAAAACATGTCATTTTACATTGAGAATTCCACAGGGGGGCTGTATCCCTTATAAGAACCCTTTACTTTCATAAATATAGGCATACCACTTTGGAAGATTTTAAATGCCAAAAAGAAAAAAGATTCAAACAGAGAAATGTAAGATTTTAATCCCATCATAAAATCAAAACACAATACTTCAGTGTTATCCAGCAGAGAGCAGTATAGTACTGCTAAAAGTAAATTTACAAAACATATTTTTCAGTTTTCCTCAAATCCCTTTGTATGGCAAACTGTAGGATGGATTGCTTTTTTTCCAAAAAAAATGTTTGTAAATACTTACTGAGAATTCCAATCTCTTCATACTTCGTTCTCTCAGTTGTGATTTGATTTTAATGCCACGTTGAAAATTCACGTCACACTGAATATTTGTCATTAAAAACTAGCTGTAAAATATTTGTATTTTAAGACCTTTTTTATTTATTAATTTGGACCCTAATGCATACATAAAAAAGCAGATACTGTCACGATCTGTCTGTGTTGTGTTTTGTCTTGTCTAGATCTGTCTTTGGTTTCCTGTCTGTGTGTTCCCTCCTACCTGATTTCTTGATTGTGTTCACCTGGTGCCCCTGTGTTTCCTCCTCACCTGTCTCTTGTTTCTTTGATTAGTCCTGTGTGTATTTAAGTTCTGGTTGTTCTGTCTGTCACTGTTAGATCCTTGTTTGTCTTGACTGCGTTCACAGGGAAGAGTTCTGTTTGTTCCAGTCAACCTTGAAATAAAGGAATATTCTTTGAAATCTGCATTTGGGTCCTGTCTGCTTCGCTTTACCCTGACAGATACACCTTATTATCTGCAATGGAATATGTATAAATGTCTTTGCTTTTTATATATTATATACAGATGATAAGATTTATTAAACCAGTTTTAGGCACCAATTTAGGCAATATCTGATCAAATAATTACTAAATAAGATTAAGAATCTGACCAAGTACGGTGACATTTCGATACTCGCTGCAACAACAGCAAATACTCTTATACTGTTCAGAAGTAGGAGCTCTCAAGTATCGTTCACTGCAAATATGTGATTGGCGTTCCCTGAGGAGGCCGAGCAAATGTGAGAAAAGCACTAAAAGCGCTGTGATCACACGTACACTGGGACAGTGCGAAAGACATGCGGACACACCAGCCGGCTGTTAAGGCTTTAGAGAGGCAGAGCACAGCAGGCACACAGCACCCAGTCAGTGGACCTGAGGGAAGACTGCAGGGCCTCAGAGCCACAGGCTGGCTCTTGGTTATTAGATGCAGCAGGTTGAAGCCCGACATGGCTGCTGGAGAGAGGAGCTCCACCCACCAGTAGAACCAAACCACCTCACAGCAGGGCTACAACCAAGATCTAGGCTGGATGAAGGGGAGCAGACAAGAGGGAGAAACAACACAGGTCAACATGATGAACGCCATTCAAGACAAGATGAGGAAGTCAGGAACCGTTTGGGATTCCCACTGTTAATGAAGAGTTTGAAGGACATTCGTTAACAGGCACGGACACAAAACAAAAACTGTGATATCCTATGCTGCATGGATGACTCATTACTTCAATAAAACATCCATCCAGTCACCTTGAAGAAATGAAATACGCAATGAAAGACATCTCTGAAAGTGATACCCAAGTCTATGGAAGAGGATGAGGGCCATGTCATTTTTAGATCTAACCGAAAGGGGGTTTCTTTGGTCGACTTTTGGTCAAACCTCAACAAAATAAAAACATTTACATGTGGCCCCATCCTCTTCTGTACAAGTCCCTTACAGACTATAAGCAGACAAATTCATACAATACATTTTTATGAGGGGTGTAACGATACACACGACAAGTCACGAATTGGCCCAAAGTTCAATACTAAGAGTATGTTTTTAAATGTATCTGATCAAAGGAGAACGTTTTAGTGTGTTACTTTGAATATGAGCTTTATACAGAAGCATGATTTTAGTTTGGAAGAGGGCCAGTGAATTTCCTTTGCAACAAACTAGGAAACAATGTATTTGTTTTTTGTTGTTTCTGTCTATTAAATAAAGGACTGCACCAAGGTTTTGCACAGGAAGAATTGACAAAATGCATGTTTGGACATAAATGGAAATGGTGGCCCTTTTCAGAGATTCTAATGTATCACCGCAAACTGACCCCTGACACACAACACTGAAACTTAAAGAGAAAAGCAACAATGAGTGGTAATGTTTTAGCTGACAGAGGGAGAGGTCTAGAGAGTAAAAAAGACAGAGAAAGAGAGAAAAAAGCCAGCAGTCGCACCGGGACATGTTAATGCAGGAGCTAAGTGTTACTCTACCTAGAAGAGCAGCAGGCAGTGCAGGGTGGCAGACTGAGTGGCTGCCTTGCCCAAGGGTGTGATGCAAGGCCACGAAAAGCCCACGTCTGAGGAGGGCGGCCATGAGACACAGTCACACTGAAGAGAGAAAGAAGGAGAGAAAGACGTAGAGAAAGAGAAGCACAGCTGATGAATTACTCGTGTGTACACATCAGTTTCCCACCCTCCACTGCTGGCTTGCTTGAGTTAAAGATGTTACTTTTCAAACAGGTAGGATTTGACATTTGATTTACTCGTAGGCAAAGAACAGTGCCAGTTTTCCAATGAGAGACGAAGATCACCAAAGGCAGGGCTCGACATTATAATTGGCCCGCTGGCCCGGAAGCACTATTTAGACACCCCGGGCCAGCATAACGTACTTTCCACTTGCCCGCTCGGGCCACTAAAATATTGCTTTAAAAAAAAAGAATTGTCCTGTGGTATTGGTATTTCGACTTGCAATTTAGTTAAATTGTTTCGTTTATTAACGCTACAACATAGCGTTTTGTGAGTCGGTTGTCGTTGTTGGGTGAAAAGCAAACAGCTGTTTGCTGCGGAGTGGAGCGCGAGCAGGCTCCCGTGAGCGGGAGCGCGCTCCTTCACTACAGACTATCGCGCCACCTAACCATTCGCCATTAATGTTTTTAATACCAGCGGTAACCGGCCAAGCGCCGGGCAAAAAACAATCTTCAAATAAAAGAAAGTCACCGGAGGAGTTAAAGGAGAGTGACAGGGAGTATGAGAAGAAGAGGGAGAGAACGTTTCAGCCAGCTTGATCGATGGAGTTGGCTTCTAGTGCAGTGACGCGTCCTAAAACCCTTTTATAATCTATCGATTAGATTTATGATTTGAAAATGATAAAAGTAGGGTAGACATGTGGAGATTATCCGGCTCCCCAACAACACTCTCTCTACCGCTCTTAAGAGAAAAAGAAGGAACCGCACACACCGCTTATGGGTTAGAGAGAGCCGTTAGGCAACCCGTCGAGGAGTGTGTGTGGAGAAGAGTCGCCGCCTTTGGACGACTGGGACCCCCCCACCCGACGAATCACCTGGAAGCGTCTCCGCTTTGACACACGCGAGAATGTGACATCCACGCGGTGCAAACCCCACCCACACGATCACCTCGAGTGTCTACCCAGACGTCGGGAGTCGTGGGGGAGAAGGGTGCGAGGTAAGCGCTTACAGAGGTCTGGGTGCGGTCGGTCCGTCCTTACTTGGGTCAGAGGTGGACGCCGATGAGCGTGCGTCGCTCCGGCGCGTTGCAGGCGGTTGTGCCGTGTTCTGGTACGTCAGAGCTAGGCAAACGAGTAATGACCACAAGTAAAAGGACCAAAGTTGTTAACTTTCCATGCACCTAGTAGTGTATCACCCGTTCGACGTGGTTAGCTCTGTACCGAGTATCGCCTCCCCGCCCCCCCGTCCTCGAGATTGTTCGGCAAATCCTGTCGTATCCCTTTGTGTATGAAGTCTTCGACATACTCTTGGTTACACTCAAACCTGTAACTTGTTAAATTTAGGATAGATCATCCTGGGTTGTTACCTTAATACTAGTCATCTTACCCGGTACTGTACCCTCGGGAAGTTCTTCAAAACCAATAAAAAACCTAATAAGAGAAGATCCGGTGGAGCATTGTCCGAGTGGTAATATTAACCGGGCGAACCGAGGCCTTCGTGATAAATGCTGTGGGGTCCGGTCTATGCTGAAAGGTGAACGAGGCGATTTTTTTGTTTGATACGAAATTTTTTTTTCTGACAGGACACCATAACATAAAACTGAACGTTAAATCAATTTAACCAAACAAATAATTGGATGTTGTATCGCAAACACTCAGCCAAAGCAAATCCACTTTTCGTTTTCGACAAACGACGCCTCGCCTGCGCTCGTCAGAGGCGCTGCCACCCAGCGAGGAAGTTGATTCAGTGATAGAGTGTGAATTGGTAAGGAGGTTAATTACATAAAACTGTATGTCGCACATTGCCGGGTTCGCGCCGTTTTTAGTTAGAAGCTTTATTTCCTTTTTGGCCCCAATTTCCTATCTACTGTACCTCATACTCTTCTTCTCCCTCTCTTGCAAAGTCGGTTCGAAACTAGCTACACTCA